TTTTTATATTTTTTTTTTTTTGGGGGGGGCGTTCTGCCTGCGAAGGTAGGCCTGATTACCTGGACAAAACTGCCCAAAGCACACTGCATAAAACAAGCAGAAAGATGGGGGTACTCGGCGAAAAAATGTAGAATCGAACTCACGTCTTTTACGTACAACGACATAAAAGGCATACCATGACACACCACAGAAGCAGCTCAAGACAGAAGAATGTACAGCACAGTAGAGGTCGGTAGTCTCGCAATTGTTCATTATGGAAACTTCATTTAACAAATGAGTGTTTCATAAGATGTGATGTGGGTCAATGGCCTTAAACACAGAATAAACTTACTTACTTACGATCGTGTGATGAGGGTTCGGGAGTGCGAGGCTTACCTCGGTTCGATGTTATGTCCTTGGGAAAGGAACGTTACAGGAGTTTTTCCCTTATCCCAACGGTGTGATCAAAACCAAATGATTTTCTTTTAATAAAGAATGCAAAACTTCTTTTTAAAACTAAATAGTTTGATTCAAACCCACTAATCATTGCGTCTTTCGTTCTTTCCTTTCTATTCTTTTTAAAAAGACTTTAAAAGTTTTTTGTTTGTTTTTTGTTTTGTTTTGTTTGTTTTGTTTGTTTGGTTGTTTTTTTTTTTGGGGGGGTTGGGGCTTTTTATTCAGATGGACCCCACGAATACATACAGCAGACATAAAAAAGCATACACATATAAACACATTTTTAAAACGACTAGTTTTCATCAAACTTAACTGAATGCAAAACTCAAAGCAACTAAACGGTTTTATCCAGTATTCATTCTCCTTCCAGTTCTCTAGACCTGCGACGTTTCCCTCGTCCCCTTTCCCTACGATTCAAATGCAACAGCACACCTAGACAATTACAGCGAGCAAACAGGAGCTCGGCGCGCCGGGACTTCCCATTTGGCTTTTTGTTTGAGAGGAAGCCGGATCTGGAACAAGCCTAGCCTCTAGGAATAAATGTGTAAAACATACTAAAAACAAAACAATCAAGGAAAGAAAGAAAAACAACATCTAAACAGATAAAACATACAAATTCCTGTTGCTGGAAATTGTCGGCTTACAGTGCCAAAAAGAACAAACCCAAAATTTTTTTAAAAATAGGAATAGAAGATGGAAGCCTACACCGGGAGGGGGGAGGGGGGGGGGAGACAGGCGTTTGTGGACTTCATGATTGCTTAGAATGCAGACTGTATGCCAAAAGAAAATTCGCCCTAACAACCCACAAAAAGACCAGTCATTGCAGCTCCCCATGGAATAATCAAATCTCTCCGATTTGGTTTTTCGTTTTTAACTTGTTTTCAGGTGACGGAATCAACTGAATAAACCTGGCTTTATCAGATCGCAACATTTCTATTTCAAGAGGAGAAGGGGAAATAGCGGTTGGGAGAGAGAGAGAGAGAGAGAGAGAGACAGACAGACAGACAGACAGACAGACAGACAGACAGACAGACAGACAGACAGACAGACAGACAGACTAAGAAAGAGAACATTTTATTGTTAAAGTCAAATACCCTGCACACCTTTTTAAAAAGAAGAGTAGTTAGATTCTATATCAGTGTAAAGGGGTCAGTTGGAGAGGGGGGGGGGGGGCATTCCGGGATTAACCAAAAACTTTGGGATCCCACTCAGAATCGAAGCCAATCTTCCTTGTGTTAGCCACTTTCGAGAAAACAGCTCCTGGGTTACAGTGGTCGTCTGAGCTGAGACTTTAAAAGCCAATAAATGAAATATAACCCAATACATGTATAAGCTATTCTGTGATTAAAGGCACGGGTGCTGTTTGCGTGTGCCAAAAAGTCGTGTGGCATAAATTGTACATCTGTGTGGATTTATTATATTGTGTGCGTTTAAGCGTAAAAAGCACACAGGTGTCTGCGTTCCTTTCCTTATATTGATTATGAATGAGGACAAGTGAATGTGTGATACATTTTGAACAAACGTGCGTGCCGGTATACTGTGTGTGTGTGGGGG